CTCACCCGCACACCCCGGCGGGGCCACGCAAGGAACAGCGTTACCTTTGCCTCAGCCAAGGCGTTGATGACATTGATGAGGGCCAGCAGCGAGCGGTTGATGTTGGCACCCTCCCGGAGCCGCTCTCCCTTGGTGTTGGCGACCGAAGCTCGCTCCGAGCCTGCCAGGTCGATCAGGCTCATCTTGGCCACTCGCAGGTCGCCAGCGAGGCCGCCAGTGCAGTCCTGTTGCTTCACGTAGATCTGCGAGGACAGAGGTGGGTGAGGCTGCAGCTCCACCAGGCTCGTGGGGCTGCTGGTTGGAGCCAGCATCACCGGTTTCAGTGTTTGTAAAAGGATGGCAGAGCGGATCATGCAGGCGTGAGATCGAGCGGCAGGAAAGGAGGGGCCTGGCATGCTGAGAAGACAAGCAAAAACTCGGCGATGACTTGAGCAGCAAAGCCACGGAAGGGATCTCGCAAGACGGGACAGAGCTGCGGAAAATAATGTGTCTCCTGCACTTGGTGAGCGAGTGGGGTACAGCTGGTCGTGTCCGCGAAGGGCAACACCCCAACCCAAAGCCCTGGCGCCACCCGGGATGTGCTTACGCACGGTGGCAGCCCCAGCCCTGACTCCGACTGTGGGTTTTTCCAGAAATCTCAGATGCTAGTGGGGGCTGCAAGCCCCCAGACACAGCCTCGCAGTGCCCCAGGGAGGCATCCAAGCAGGGCTGGCGGTGCCCAGCCCAGTTCCCAGCTGGTGCAGGTGAGGAGGGTGTTCTGATCCAATATGAGGTAATGGTGTAATAGCAGTGTTGAGACAAAACAGCTGACACAGCCCCTTACACCACTCCGTGGCTCGACATCACTGTCTTCATGGTGGCAAGACAGAGATAGAAAGAGAGAAAGAGCAGGAACAGCATCCAGCATGGCAGCCGACAATTTTTCTGGCAAATTTTCAGTCAATAAACATGTTGTTAACAATATCCTTAACAAATATGAGTATCTTCAGCCAGCAAGCACATAACTAACAACATCTCTAACAAGTATGTCATGTTTAAATTCCACTAACTTTACAAAACCAAGACATTCTATAATCTGATTTTAAGGTTGTGAGGAATTAGTAGAAGATGATGGCAGTTTACATGGTAGACATTTACAATGACAGAAAAGAAGTGTTAGAATAACTATTAAGGTAATGGCTAACAAGTTTAAGGTTAAAAAGTGATTTGAAATCAATTCTAACATAGGATCCATTATTTTCTAGTAATGTACCACAGAGGTGTTGCTGCCCTGGTTTGCCGGAGTTGGAGTCAGCACACACAGCAGGAAAATTGATTTCTTCACCCCTTTATCCTAAAGCACACGTCATCTGGGCCTAGAAACTTTTATTCCAAATTTAGACAAAGGCAGATAAGCAATAGCACTACAAATAAACAAATAACACTGTATTAGCACTAACAATCCATGTCTGAACAGGGACATGGGACAGGTTTCTAATCCCAGACGTTATTTGTGGGACCACCTGACCACTGCCATCAACTTTCAAACAAGTGTTAAAATTGTTTTAATTTGCCTCAAACAACCCTTTCTTTGGCTAACAGGTAATGGAGAACCCTACGACGTTAGAATGTGGCAGTTCACCTTTGTGTCTGCCAAGAAATCCAGGGCACAAGCAGCTTCATTAATAATAATTATTAAGATAGCCTGTAGCCGAGTAATACAATTTAACTCATAAATGGGTTCTCAAGTGCTGCTAATTAGCCCATTGAGGTTGTGGGTTGCAGGCCCGTAATGTTGGATGATCCCTTGTGGGGTCCATTCCTCCATGCCCCAGGTTTGGGCACTGCCTCCTCTCAAGGCAGCGTCAATAGATGCTGATTTACGTCATCATAAACCTTAATCCTTAACCCCTCGCCCTGGTTTGGTGACAGGAAGAAAAACAATGGTTTAATATACACTATGTAACATATTCCTATCCAATTTAAAAGTAGCCTCTAATAGGCACGTTGTCCACAAATCCAATAATAACCTTTAAAAGCCCAGGCCCCATTAGCAAGGGACCTTCCCATGTAGGTTCTTGTAGTGAGTTTTCCTGTATGTTTAACACCTTAGGGGTACCTTCAGTGACTGTGAAACATCACAATAAGGTTTGGCTTTAACGTACCATTTCCTCAGGGTATCCCCTTGGGTTACTGTGGTGGTGCAATGCTCACCCCTCCCCGCTCCTCCTTGTTGGGCTGCTTGGTGCCAGGTGTGATTCCGCTCACATCTCCCCCAGCTACACACCAACCTGTGGAGGTAAGGACTGATAACGTTAAGGCACCCCCTTAACAAGCCTGGCTCCTGCCCCTCCCGATGGCTGGGACAGGGTTATAACAGCCGCTCATCTCCTAAGGGCCTGGCACACCTCTGCCGGGGACGGGGTCAGATGGAACAGTAACACAGCTGCACATTCATCAAGTTCTTGTGCAACTGCTGGAAGGCACCAGAGTACTTGAACAATGTTCAAGCTGTGTGTGAGCAGAAGGGATCTGACAAACGTCAATGATCTTGGACCCTATAAATTGTGACCCCAAGGGAGACCTTTGAGCTTTCCTGGATTACAGCAGCCTGTGACCAGCATCTCCCCTGAGCTGGGAGCCGTCAGGTACCAAAACCCTTACGGTGTCGTCTGCTGGCAGAGCTGAGGGAAGGCCACAGCGAAGTCCACCTGCTTGAGTCTCGATTATTGCCTGTTGAGGA